CATATCACATGACAATGTTTTTGTTATTAAAAAAAACCGGATATAGTTTTTATAAAAAGTCAAAGTAGTTAATTTATAAACACAATTGTTTTAATGTTTTAAATATCCCTTATTAATCCAAGGAAAAATCATTCTAATATTCTTATATTTATTGTCCCTTTAAGGCTTCTTCTCATCTATTTCAATCTAGAATAATAGTTGTAATGCCTATTTCAGGTACAATAAGCCTCCAGCTTCAATACAGGTGGGCTTTGAAACTCACCCTAATTAAGAAAGACATTTATGCACATTCCAAAAATCTCCATACCCAGGAAAATCTAAAACAAAACAAAAATAAAGGTGCAGTGTGTATCTTAAAATTAAAAATTAACACGAGTCATAACTTTTTTAAATTATTACATTTTTCTTGCAATAAAAGGTATAAAAATTTCAATAAAAATAGAAAACATCTGATTTATGATATTAATAGGTGAACTATGCAAAAATTAACAAGTTGACCCTAAATATCATATATTAGTTTTTGTACATATTTGGGTATTATTTGATAAATATAATAATGAATATCACCCAAAAATTGAACAATAACTTTTTGAGCACAAATCATTCGCCTTTTTTCATCAAGGTCTTTATGAGTAAAACTATGATGAGGTTCTATCTCGGGTTCATCAATATCTGTTTGTAAATTGGCTTAACACATTTCGCTCACAACACCTTTTATTTTTTTGACCACAAATGTTTAAAATGTGGATCCATTTATCTCTGATGGTAATAATAGCAGGAAAAATATAAAATTTCTGGTTAGTTTTGTGAGAAAAATATTTACTTCTGCAATTAATATTTAAATGAATCAGAAGTTAATTACATTCTTAAGAACCTCTCTATAGTTAAATTAGTTAAATCTAACTTACACTAAATTAATAAATTTACTCACCTACATTTGAAAAAAATATCACCTGCATTTGAAAATGAAAATAACACAGATCACTTACTGGAAAATTATATCAGGCTGACATATTTATGACAACATAACCTAATTTATTTTCAGAGCCAGATTTACACTATCTCATAATATTTAAATTTAGCTTTAACTTTACATTTATTAAAGATTATCCCTGTATTTGATCACACATTGTATTATAGTGAAATTTAAAGAGGTAAATCAGTAAAATTATTGATTTCTTTGTCATTATTTTTAAAAACATATTTTTTTATGGGTGTAAAACGGGTTTGAATTTAGTGATAGCAGCGCGATAAGCGCTTACGGTTCAACTACCAACAAGGAAACAAGTCCCGCCATTTATTCAAACTTTCTCTTTTTATTTTTCTATGAGCACAACTGTATGACCAATCTGGAACCTGTGGCTGTCGCGTGATACGTGTGCGCATAAGTTTTACTCTACGGTGCGAATTAAACGAAATTTGAATGTGATCGATATTAACCTGCGGTCGATATTCCTCCACCTTCCCCTAATTTTTTTTATTATTAGTAAAAATAATTATTTATTACAAATCAGTGTCTAATAGTGTCAATTACTGGTGCAGTTACCTTTATCACCTCTGTGATAACTTTATAAATTTTGATTTACATTAAAATCAAAACAATTTCCTTCGGAAACCAATATCTGCAATATACCACTTAATGTGTCCTATGTTAAGATGATTTCTACTTTTAGTTTTATTCAGATTAATTTGACTGAACACTCGTTCAACACATGCGGCAAAACAGTCATTTTTAAATAAATTTATTGTGAAAATGCTTCCGTTTTATCTCCTTTCCGAATTTTTTTCCAAAAAACACCAGATCTAAACTGAAATCAATGTATGTATATCGCAATAATCGCCTTCATTTTAATTAATTGACATTATCTATAAATAATGTTTCATAAAATCTAGTACCCTCAATGCCTGTACACATTTAGAGTCAAATGGAATACTTTAATAAATTGGTAAAGCACTTTCTATATAAAAAGAAAGACACCTTTTACTGAATTTTTCTTATTCAATATCTGTGAATTTCAAATTCTGCTATTATCGTTAGCGGTAAAAACTTTGGGGGATTTATAAAGGGAATATTTTGAGGTTCTAACTGTTTTAAATATAGTAGATCAAGGTAATTTTCAACAATACTAATAAATGTTTCTCTCATTTTTAAATATAAAACATACTTTTTTGGTTTTCAAGGCTGAAATTCCAAATTAAGGTTAGTAAAGTATGGTAAAGCAAATTCTAATAATAATAAATCAGTTTGCGTACGCATACGCATACGCATACGCATACGCATACGCATACGCATACGCATACGCATACGCATACGCATACGCATACGCATACGCATACGCATACGCATACGCATACGCATACGCATACGCATACGCATACGCATACGCATACGCATACGCATACGCATACGCATACGCATACGCATACGCATACGCATACGCATACGCATACGCATACGCATACGCATACGCATACGCATACGCATACGCATACGCATACGCATACGCATACGCATACGCATACGCATACGCATACGCATACGCATACGCATACGCATACGCATACGCATACGCATAACGCATACGCATACGCATACGCATACGCATACGCATACGCATACGCATACGCATACGCATACGCATACGCATACGCATACGCATACGCATACGCATAACGCATACGCATACGCATACGTCATACGCATACGCATACGCATACGCATACGCATACGCATACGCATACGCATACGCATACGCATACGCATACGCATACGCATAACGCATACGCATACGCATACGCATACGCATACGCATACGCATACGCATACGCATACGCATACGCATAACGCATACGCATACGCATACGCATACGCATACGCATACGCATACGCATACGCATACGCATACGCATACGCATACGCATACGCATACGCATACGCATACGCATACGCATACGCATACGCATACGCATACGCATACGCATACGCATACGCATACGCATACGCATACGCATTACGCATACGCATACGCATACGCATACGCATACGCATACGCATACGCATACGCATACGCATACGCATACGCATACGCATACGCATACGCATACGCATACGCATACGCATACGCATCACGCATACGCATACGCATACGCATAGACGCATACGCATACGCATACGCATACGCATACGCATACGCATACGCATACGCATACGCATACGCATACGCATACGCATACGCATACGCATACGCATACGCATACGCATACGCATACGCATACGCATACGCATACGCATACGCATACGCATACGCATACGCATACGCATACGCATACGCATACGCATACGCATTACGCATACGCATACGCATACGCATACGCATATACGCATACGCCATACGCATACGCATACGCATACGCATACGCATACGCATACGCATACGCATACGCATACGCATACGCATACGCATACGCATTATACGCAAAAAATTATGATTCCTAAATTTACTTATCTCTATACAAATAGGATAGTAAAAAGGCATAATCCATTTAGAGGTACCTTATCTTGTCTTCTTTTTGATTTATTCGGAGTCCTGCTAGGAACGTTGTAAGGGCTTATTGTTGGAACAAATTGTTCTTACTGTTCTTGATTGCTTTGATCCATGCAGTTCTGTGTAGTTTGTTATGGTGCTTAGAAGTCCCATTACTTTTTAATTTTTTATAAAGCACTTTTATTAAAATGAAAATATACAATAATTATAATTACTAAATAACTTTTACATTTTGTGGTACCTGAATTTATATTAAAATATATGCTGATTATAAATAATGATGAAAAATGCAAAATCGCAATTTTAGGACAATTAAGTGTAATTACCTTAATTATTTAAATTGCATTCCTTGTTTGTGGGTTTAACCACTTATAACTCGGGACATAGAAGACATATAAATTTTTAATTTTAGTAATTATTTCTTCGTCCTACAGTGATATAAAAACGGCAAAATTTTAGTAAATGTTAAATTTTAAAATAGACTTATAAATGTTTACTTTCATAGTCCATAATTTTAATGTTAAATATTAAAAGTAATTATTAAATAATTTAAATCAGTATGTTTTCATAATAAGTATTTGGCATTAAAGCTTTTATAGTTCTAGAGACAACGTGCAGGTTTGTGACTTATTTTCTTATGGCTGAATGTATTATTAAATTATATATACTATGATACGGATCCAACAAATTCAAGTTCAGAGTGGGGCGCTTAGGGTCCTATAGGAATTAAAAGTGCCTCTCAAAAACTTGACTAATTTTTTATGTTTAAACTATTCATATTTTTTTAAATTCATTATTTTTCTTGGACACGAAAAACGGCCTACTATTTTTAATGGATATTACTTCAAAAAGAAGGTATAATTTTTAACTTGCTTTGGTACAAACGTCCACTTTTTGAATATAACTTACGTGCATACCCACTCAAGCACCACTTTAAAATGTTGGAGAGAAAAAATGGGCCAGCGAAAATGGTGGAGGAAGCAAATTTTGTGAAAAACATAACAAAAACTTTAAAATAAACCGAAAACCAGCCATAAGAGAATAAGTGTTGGAGAAAAAAAAATGGTCCACCGAAATTGGTGGAGGGTTTAATATTTCTTGTAGGTGAGCACTTATCCTGGAATGAACATAACGAAAATAGGTCACAAATTTGTAAGTTGGTTGTAGAACTATTATTGGCAAAGTAAAAAAAAAATAAAATTAATAAACTATTTTGTCCATCTAGTAGGGTAATGGTTTTAAGTGCCACTGTTATTTGAGTGTCATTTTTAAAATTAATGATCACTGTGCTAATGATCCACCTTGTGTCAGAACAGGTTTTTCTCACCTCTCTTCTAAATATCTCGGTGTAACATTTTCACGTTTTCTAGCCGCTTTTATATACTAGAAAACAAAATTAGATCTACTGGAGATAAAGCACTGGAAAGCAAGTATAACTGAATATATAATAATTGGTCTTTTGGTAAAAGTTTCAGTAGTGTTTTTAAATCCTCTTTGTGTAGGTGGTGGTGAAAATATTAAAAAAAAATGGTAATTTTTTCTCTTAAAATAAATACGAACTAAGTGCCAACTACCTATAACACACAATATAATAATTATTTAATTAACATTTACATTCTTTAAATCGATTTCTAAAAAATGTTAAGCATTATTGGAAATCATTTAAATTAATTTAATATGTATTTTTGCAAACAGTTACGACATACCTTATTTTATGTAATCAGTGAATATTTGCGGGACGAGCAGAGCGAGATCCCGCAACATGAACAAGTTACACAAAACGGCATTTCGTAACGTGTTACATACAAGATATTTTCTAATTTTGACTAACTTATACAATTGTGTAATTGGGTAATTATTTCAAATATTAAAAAAAATATATTTTCCTTCTAACATCTTTCCATATTCATAATACATAATTTAAAATTATTCTTATATCCGCTAACATTTTTCTCAATAAATCTTTTTAAAACCAATCTGACCATCCCATTCATTTTCCAAAAGCCCACTGCCATGGCCGTCACAACTGTAAAACCGTTTCGAATAACTTACTGACGCCAACGATACTGCACGGTAACATGACATCAAAGGTCAAATGATAGTTACAAAGTTTTGTGCGACATACTGCCTTGTCGTAATTGGTTGAATAATTAATTACAGGTACCTACTTTATTAATATTTCACAATATAAAAAATCGGCGTAGCGTTTCTGGCTGATACTCTTCTCGATCCTCCTATACGGAAATCACAATATTTTTTGGCTCCTTTTGGCCTTATGAAAATTAATTAACGTATGTTGTTTAATAACTACTAATAAATGGAGTCTATGTTGAAAAGTAATAATCAAAGATATTTGGATGAACTTTGGGGTTTGAATGGCGGCTGTAGAAACACACCCAATATGAGTTTAACCACTCTTTAACAAAGTAATCATTAAACCTTATGATCTTTTCCATCTTTGGAAAATTTTCCCTAGCCTTCTCAATTTGGTAAACAGATAAATAATTCCTTACGTCTTCTCTTTCTCTGTCTACTGCAAACGCCCAAGGGGCTCTTTCAGACACAACGATTTTGTCCGTACGGAAAAAATTCGTACGGATTTTTCCGTGCGTCGTTGATAGTAAACTAATAAAATTAACTGCAGCTTTCATACTGGACGGAGACGGATTTTTTTTCGTACGGTCGATTTGAAAACAGCCGTGTCAACGACTGAATTGTACGGTACCGTACCATCACCGTCTATCAGTGGCCTATGTAACTTTATGCAGGCTTTCTTATATGACAATTTTTAGCCGTCTGCCGTCCGTTATTGCGTGCCGTTGGGTTTTTATTTGTCATAAATAATTTGTATTTTGGTTTACGTGAATGACAATATTATAAACTAGTAGTTTGACATATTGAATTTATTTTAATTTTTTGATTTTGCAGCTAATAAACTAGTAACGAAACAAAACATAGAACTCTTTTACTTCAGTGTCACAACTATTATTTCCATAGGTTCAATGCAGTTTCTCATTTTAGTATTATTTCCTCTGAATATTGTTTTTTTAGTCGTAAATCTTCCATTAAGCAAATGAATGAGTCCACTTTTTCTCTTTTCTGATTAATTGGGTGATATAGTTTCCGATACTTTTGTATATGACGGTACAAAAACCGCATGGCAATGGTGCACTTTCGATTCATGTCGATAACCAACTGACATAAAATACAATAACTAAAGACGGTTCACGGAAAAGAAAACAGTCGAGTGTGAATTCTACAAAGACACGGAAAAAAATTCGTACGAATTTTCTCCGTACGAACAAAACCGTCGTGTCTGAAAGAACCCAAGCTCTTATATTTTTCTCTAGAGGGATTGGTTGAAGTGAATATTTTTTTTTTTACTTCAGGTAATAGGTTGAAAACTTCTATTATGACAGTCATTTTCAAAGTCATAAAGGATCTCCACTGGTTTAAAATCAGGCATCAGGTAGGTATCTAAATAATATCACATTATTCGCATAATTTCCTTCTTCGTTTATTTAATAAATATCACTAAATTTAGTTTTAAAAGGCAACACTTACGAAATTAATTCAAAATAAATATTTACGACTTGTAATCAAAATCACCATGAAACTATATTATTTATTCTAATTGTCTAATTGAAGTATTTAAATATTACATTGAATATTAAAAATAAATGCAAGATTTTACGAAAAATACTTGAACTACTGTCATTTGTATCCCCTTATTATACAAAATTTAAATTACTGTGGAATTTATTAGTCTGGCTTTAATTTCTAAAGTGATTAAACCATGCAAGCCTTCTCACCACGTCAATGTTACATTCCTAGAGAAGGAAAACAGGAACAATAACGTGAACCAACAGATACGTGGTTACGTTTATAATAATGTAAAAATATAGCCAAAACGAAAAATTAAATCTCATCTTCACTTGACATGTCATTCAAGTTTATAATGCAAGACAGAGCCGAAAATACTCGATGGCATGTATTATTATAAGTTTGATCACTCCATCCTTTTTCCACAATATGAGTGTCGTACCAACTCTCATCAAGATACACTATGAATATATCCTGCCAACGAGCTTAATCTATTTTAGTGAGGTATTTATTACGTAAAATCATAATTCTTTGAGATTCCGTAATATGCTGTCTTCTATTTTAGGTACAATATCAAAAACCCAAAGAATGGAGCACTTTTCTAGTGTTTTTTCAGATTTGTTAGGGAAAACCGCGAACCAAATTTATTTCATTTTTATTCATTTGAAAATTATAAACCATTTTCTAATATTCTCCACCCTGCAGTGATCTAGATCTTTCTTGAAAGACATTCCTGGCTTGTAATACCTTTTCTAATCGCAGGTTTTAAAATTTTTGTCATAACGTTTATTCCTTCTATGACACCATAATAAGATCCATTATTTTCCAAATTTAATTGGTGGTACATATTTCAAATAACTTTTTGAGTTGAAGGTGACATCTATATATCAAACTTTTTATTAATATCCTCCTCATCCTCCTCATCCTCCTCATCCTCCTCATCCTCCTCATCCTCCTCACCTCCTCATCTTCATCCTCCTCATCCTCCTCATCCTCCTCATCCTCCTCATCCTCCTCATCCTCCTCATCCTCCTCATCCTCCTCATCCTCCTCATCCTCCTCATCCACCTCATCCTCCTCATCCTCCTCATCCTCCTCATCCTCCTCATCCTCCTCATCCTCCTCATCCTCCTCATCCTCCTCATCCTCCTCATCCTCCTCATCCTCCTCATCCTCCTCATCCTCCTCATCCTCCTCATCCTCCTCATCCTCCTCATCCTCCTCATCCCTCCTCATCCTCCTCATCCTCCTCATCCTCCTCATCCTCCTCATCCTCCTCATCCTCCTCATCCTCCTCATCCTCCTCATCCTCCTCATCCTCCTCATCCTCCTCATCCTCCTCATCCTCCTCATCCTCCTCATCCTCCTCATCTCCTCATCCTCCTCATCCTCTCTCATCTCCTCATCCTCCTCATCCTCCTCATCCTCCTCATCCTCCTCATCCTCCTCATCCCTCCTCATCTCCTATCCTCCTCACCTCCTCATCCTCCCTCATCCTCCTCATCCTCCTCATCCTCCTCATCCTCCTCATCCTCCTCATCCTCCTATCCTCCTCATCCTCCTCATCCTCCTCATCCTCCTCATCCTCCTCATCCTCCTCATCCTCCTCATCCACCTCATCCTCCTCACCTCCTCATCCTCCTCATCCTCCTCATCCTCCTCATCCTCCTCATCCTCCTCATCCTCCTCATCCTCCTCATCCTCCTCATCCTCCTCATCCTCCTCATCCTCCTCATCCTCCTCATCCTCCTCATCCTCCTCATCCTCCTCATCCTCCTCATCCTCCTCATCCTCCTTATCCTCCTCATCCTCCTCATCCTCCTCATCCTCCTCATCCTCCTCATCCTCCTCATCCTCCTCCTCATCCTCCTCATCCTCCTCCTCATCCTCCTCCTCATCCTCCTCCTCATCCTCCTCCTCCTCCTCATCCTCCTCCTCATCCTCCTCCTCATCCTCCTCATCCTCCTCATCCTCCTCATTCTCCTCATCCTCCCATCCCTCATCCTCCTCATCCTCCTCATCCTCCTCATCCTCCTCATCCTCCTCATCCTCCTCATCCTCCTCATCCTCCTCATCCTCCTCATCCTCCTCATCCTCTCATCCTCCTCAACCTCCTCATCCTCCTCATCCTCCATCCTCATCCTCCTCATCCTCCTCCTCATCCTCCTCATCCACCTCATCCTCCCTCATCCTCCTCATCCACCTCATCCTCCTCCTCATCCTCCTCATCCTCCTCATCCTCCTCCTCATCCTCCTCATCCTCCTCCTCATCCTCCTCCTCATCCTCCTCCTCATCCTCCTCACCTCCTCATCCTCCTCATCCTCCTCATCCTCCTCATCCTCCTCATCCTCCTCATCCTCCCATCCTCCTCATCCTCCTCCTCATCCTCCTCATCCACCTCATCCTCCTCATCCTCCTCATCCACCTCATCCTCCTCCTCATCCTCCTCATCCTCCTCCTCATCCTCCTCATCCTCCTCCTCATCCTCCTCCTCAACCCTCCTCCTCATCCTCCTCATCCTCCTCAACCCCTCATCCTCCTCATCCTCCTCATCCTCCTCATCCTCCCATCCTCCTCATCCTCCTCATCCTCCTCATCCTCCTCATCCTCCTCATCCTCCTCATCCACCTCATCCTCCTCAACCACCTCATCCACCTCATCCTCCTCATCCTCCTCATCCCCTCATCCTCATCCCTCCTCATCCTCCTCATCCTCCTCATCCTCCTCACCTCCTCACCTCCTCATCCTCCTCATCCTCCTCATCCTCCTCATCCTCCTCATCCTCCTCATCCTCCTCATCCTCCTCATCCTCCTCATCCCCCATCCTCCTCATCCTCCTCATCCTCCTCAACCTCCTCATCCTCCTCATCCTCCTCATCCTCCTCATCCTCCTCATCCTCCTCATCCTCCTCATCCTCTCCTCATC